TCAGAATGTCATTCAGACTGGCTGTGTGGGCAGATGGTAGTTAAGTAAGAAAGGATGATTCGGACTAAAGGGATTAAAATACCAAAATGCTACATAGCAGATACTGGAAACAAGACGCTTACCTAACCTGGGATTCCACAAGCGAACCCAGTACCTTTACAGGTAAGTAAGATAAGCACTCAACTATCAGCTCAGTAGAACAAGGTCCAACGCCATCACATAAGCCCTACCTGTCATCAGTTTTCCCTTGGTAAGTTGGTCAAGAGGACCTGGAAGCTGAAGAGATCAGGACTGAGAAATCAGAGATGGACATTTTTAACCAACTAGTTATTTATAAAAAAGTGCCCTTCTTGAACACATCAAAAGCAGTAGCATTAAGCTAAAATGTATGCATAGTTTTAGCACTTCTCAAACATGCTCTGTTGCTAAATTCATTAGGGTCTGCTTGCGTGGTGGAGGGAGAGAGTCTGCAAAACTTTAAGCTATGGCAGTTTAAAACTGTTACTATTATTACTGTTTCTGTGGTGCTTGTTTCCACAAAGAGATAAGTTCCTAATTATGTCAAGTTTTAATTTAAGTTTAGTTTTTCCTGGTTTGCAGGCTCTTATGCACTACCACTCAGACAAGCTGGTTAGTTGATTGCATGAAGCTTACACATCAGTACATTAATAATTAGTACAGAGAACTATAGGAAACAATGCAAAGATAATTATATCCAAAATTCCAGCATCCAGAGACAGAAGGACTGTAAGGGTCAAGCCCTGTGTCCCAAATGACACATAAAACATCCATGAGTATGGCATCTGAAAATAAACTGCTCAGAGAATATGTCAAAACAGCAGCGGATAAGGAGGCGGTTTGCAGGAGGTAGCCTACCTTGGGAAGCTAATCACAGGGATATGGGCAAAGGTGGCAAAAAGCAAAAATCCTACCAATGCAAGGTAGGATGCAGGGTTTGAAAACAATACACAAGACCATAGTTGCAGATAGTTCACAGATGCTGTAAAAGCTTAGAACATAGTATCTCTAATTAAGGCCGGTATGGCTTGACTCAGCGCTTTTTGTGCCTCTACTTTGATTTCCGCTGTAAATAGTACTTTGGATAGTACCCCCCCAATGTAGGCAGAGTTAAGCATCAGAGTGACACTTTTCCAGCAGTTTGGAAACAACCAGAAAACAACAAACAGGAACTTTACTTTGGTCTTGAGAAGTTGCAGCCTTTATTCACTGACAAACTGTAACCTTCACTGTACATTTACTGCCAGATTGACAACTTCACTGCTCTCTTTTCCCCTGCACCACTTGCATTCAGCATTCTCTTTCACTTCTCCACATGCTCACAGAGGATATGAAGGGAGGGTGTTCTTGATAAGTCTGCATTTCGTCAATTGGCCTGGTATTGCAGGATGGCATCTTTCAGGGAATAAAAAATTGTGGTTGCTATTGATGGTAGCTTGGCTATTAAAAAATGCGGGGTTCCTGCAGGATGGCCCATGTTGTGTGACCAATCAGTTGTCTGCAGTGTATCAGCTGAGTTCGACCAAGAGCAAGCAGAGTTGACTTGAGTCGAGCCTTACCGTGCAGTGGAAAAGCTGCATAAGACACAACAAAAAGGGTGGCTGAGAATAATAGAGCTGCGATCTTGGTCTTTGGCAACCGGACAACCAGACAAATGGTTCTCCAAACAGAAAACAGAATCTGCCGAACCCTCAACCTTATAGGTCAATGGTAGAGTACCCAGACTTGATTAGAACACATACTGGTGTGGGGATTTTTTTCTACTCACCCCCTGCGAATGAATAAAGAGAGGAAAGGTATTAAGAGAGGCAATAAGAGAAGCAAATGATAAAAAAATAATGAATGCAGGTAAATAGTGGTGGGGCAAACTGTCAATGTCAATGTTTCTTTCTCCTCTGTCGAGAGATAAATGACACCCAATAGCAGTACTGGGAAACCATCTCTTTTTGCTCTTAGAAAGAGAATGTTGGTGGAGTTGGATATGGTGAATGATAAATGATCCCAAAAAAGCACAATATTTGCAAATAATTTGCCCAATCGTCTGACTGAACAAATGGTGTTATTGACTGCTAATGCAACTTCACTGTCTACTGCCAAGACACAGTACTTATTTTAAGTTGCACTGAGGATTGAGCAACAGTTTTATATTGACTTGGCTTAGTCCAAATCACAAGCTAAATCACCATCTAATTTTCCCAAAATCATATTTTGGGTAAGCCTCCTCACAGGAAGTCTTCTTAACAAAGTGCAATTGAAAGAATTTCAGACCAAAAGTCAAAACTTCCTCAAGATTTCCTTTAAATTGATCAATTAAAAATATCTGTGTCAGTTTTCATTCAAGAATAGAAAAACTATTAAAAAACATATAAGCTAGCGACAAATAACAATACATATAATAATAGACATAACAGGTCATGCACTGAAATAGACACTCAAAGTGTGAACATTAAGCCATTTTAGACTTTGGGTCTCACTCCTTCCACGTGAGGCCTCCCTTCCTCCCTTTTCTCCTGCTGAAAAGTAAAAGTGTTGCCTGGTGTTTATCTTTGCATGGTGCTTCATACTCCTGATCCAGGCTTGAAACACAGCAGGATGTGTGTAATCCTACTTCGGGTGGACTATTCTAGTGTAATCTCCTGCTCACTCAGAGTACACACAAGTCACTTTTGACTGCTCTATAAAAGATTCAACTGTCAGATTCTGGCCATCTGTCATCTGCATCCATGTTTGTCTGTCAGACTTTGAGACTCTCACACTCTGTTTGTCACTATGTGACGCTGTATGTGCTCTTGCCTGTTTGTCCTTATATTGGACAGAATGCAACTCCTTGAAAGTGAAACTAATGATCTGTTTAGCATCCTTACATTACATAAGCACATTAAGGGAAGTCCCTTGGCAATGGGATTAGGACTTATGGGCATGTGAGTGTGCATGCATGTGAGAGCATGTACAGGTGTGCTTGTTTGTGCATGCATACAGTACATCTTTGTGTGTGTCTGTATGTTGCGTATGTGCGTGTATGTTGCGTATGTGCGTGCTTGAACGTGTGTGAATGTGTGTGTGTGTGTGTGTTTGCAAGTGTTTGAGCTCGAATGAAAACCATTTTTGTTCACAGACGGCAATTGTGCAGCACCTTAGGGGAATACTCTGCTTTCTTTTCAACTGCTCTCTTTTTATTTCCTGTCTTTATTCCTAGCATGCAGTGCCGGAGCCTTGCAAAGATACAATGGGTCATTTCAGCCAAGTAGCAAACAACAATGAGGTAATCAACAATAACAAACACAAAGGCAGCCTCTTGCCTTTGCCATCAATGTCTGGAGAAAGAATCAAAAGGACACTCAAACTAAGCCACCTACAGAAAAGGCAACTGAGCACCTTAGTGCAAGAATGCATTAACTTGCTGAAAAAGTTCAATCTTCATTTTGCTATACCATAAGGAGTCAATGTCCAGTAGAAAAGTGAAAGTAGAAGAGGATGGGAGATTAGTGTTGACACTAAGGCACATAGAAAATGTCACATGGTATCTCTCCACCATCTTTAACCTTTCAATATAACCAGCGGATATCTGGATAATGGATACCAAGCCAAAGACTTACTTACTAACAAGAATTGAGAGACAACGTCGACAACCAGATTAATCACTATTAACACATATCATATCTTTTTTTTTAAACTGAATCATCATCAGATGATAGCCAATTGGATTTACCTGCTGTTTACCTACATATGCTAAAACGCACTCAACTGAGATTGGTCAATACTACTCGCACTACAAATGGAAGCTAGACCAACCAAACACTACCAAAATCTTGTCCTTTGTCTACAGATGCTGTATTCATATGCAGATAACTGTTAATATAGATTACCAATAGTATGATCTTATGTATGCTACTGACAGGGTGAGAGAGAGCAGGGATAGAGAGAGACTATACATTGGGTTAGAGTTATGTCGAATTAATAACACTTCATTTCATCTTTCAACCAATGAAGGGTAAAATGTCTCTTCTTCTCTGAGTTTATGTGCAGTACCAGGCAATCACTTTCTGTTCAAGATCGTTTTAACCTGTGACTTGTAAAGGACATTTTAATGGGAATATTACTTTATAGTAAAGAATGAAGTGAAGAATGAACACGACACGGATAGCTGTTGCTGAAGCCATTTGAATTACAACAGCAGAGCTTGAAGAATTCATGAAATTAACTAATTTAGGATCTAGACATTTACCCTGTTCCGTATCAGCTTCTGCAGCAAAGAAATACAGACAAAAACATTTCCCAGCATAAAGATTTTGTAAAGAGGACATTGCATACTGTTTGTTGAAAATAGGAAATTAAGGGGAAGAGAGAATCTGTCATAGTCTAATGGTTCTACAATTTTTTCAGTGGCTGCAATACTACACAGACTCAGGCTACATCGTCAGGGAAAGATTTTATTAAGAGGAATGCAGGATTGCCTTTCAAATCCTGTGTGGAAACAGAGGTTGAGGTAAAGTTCCACAGTTCAGGTATAACTATCTTGATTCTCTACTTTGTCTCTTCCTGTGGATTTACTGTGCCTCTCATAGCCTTCTTTATCCCTTATGCCTTTTCTCTCCCTCTCCCCTCCCTCCCCCCTCTCCTGCTCTCACCCTAAGTGGCCAGTTGTCAAAGTCAGCTGAAGCCCCGTTAATGAAGAGGTAGATTTATTAGCGACACATCAGTGGAAGAGGTGGAGGGAAGCAGAATCCCCAGAAGCCAGCAAGTGAATACAGCCACTAAGTGTGCATAACAAAAGAAGAGAGGGTAAAGAGCGGGATGGGATGAAAACAGAATGGCAGAGAAAGAGAAAAAAGAGAAAACTGAAAATGTTTAAAATAAATAAAGCCAAATCCATAAAGCAGACAATAGAGAGGTAGAAAGCACCCAGTCAGAAAGGAAGGGGGACAGGCAGCTTCCCTCTCTTTTATCCTCTCTCCAGCAGTGGCAACAGAACAAGCTCTTACCGTCTGTTGTAGGTCTGGGATTCCAATGCGGATGACCACGGTGTTGCCTGTCGGCTCCTCCATGGGTGCTCTTGCACTGTGGCTCCGCTCTGCACCGGGACGGAAAGCCGGAACACAGACAGGAAAGGGAACGCCGCTGTCCTCTTCCCGGGAGCTGCCGCTGTCAGTGCTGGCCCCCTGGCTGCCGTTTGCTGCGTGTGTGTAAGAGTGTGTGAGTGTGTGTGAGTGTGTGTGTGTGTGCTGCTGCTGCTGCTGGTCCTGCCGTGGAGGGCTGGGTGGCTCATGTTTGCCGGCTGCCGGACGCAGAGGCATGCTCCGTGTTTGGGGCTCGGTCTATGTCTCTCTCTCTCTCCAGACACACACGCGAGCGCAAACACACACACACACACACACCGATGGCTCTCGCTCACACACTGCTTACAGCGTGCATCACTCGCCTGGGAGAGAAAAAGAGGGAGGGAAAAGAGGCAGGGAAGGGAGGCAGAGAGGGAATGGGCAAAAAGGAGGGGGTAATAGGAGATTACAGAGAGATGAAGGGTAAAAACAGAGAGAGAAGATAAGTACAAGAGGAACTTTGAAATAAAACTGAGAAGTGATGTGGAGATAAAGCAAGATTTACATTCATAGAATGGTGTAAAATGATTTAACTAAAAAGATAATCCTAATGCAATTTGTCAAAAAGGGAGGCACATTTAGTCTTTAAATAGAATAAAATAGATAAAACAAAAACAGAAGACAAAAATAATTAAAACATTTGCATAAAATATTTGGATCTTTAGTATAAACTTAGAGTGTCTGAATAACAGCAGCACTATCACCTTATTAAAGTGACTGCTGATACAAGAATTTGAATGTTCACATTCATAAAATGCAATGCAACTTCACATGTCCGGCACAGTTAATGAGCTCTGTTAATGTTACAATGAGACTGCTGCTGTCACACACTGTTGCTCTTCACACTGTGGTGATGTCAGGACAGCAAAGGGGGGGATTGTTTGCTCAGATCAATGTTGGGCAGGATTTGGACTTTATCTATCCGGGGGGGCTGATCAAACGGCCCCTGGTAAACACAGTGACACATAGACACAGCCAGCATAAAAGGATTTTTATTTTTTAAATGGAAGTTCTTCTCATTGGGAGTGCTGTTTTCATGTATTATTTTATGCAGGCCATGTGAAGCCCTGAGAATGGGACTGCAGTTAATGTCAATTTGACCTTGATTTCGAAGTGTGCTGTACAACAAGTCACCCAAAGCGATTTCATAGTCTGTGACTTTCATGGCTTCTGTAGATGTGTTGTTTTTACATTGACCAGCCAACAACATCCTTGATGTATTGGCCTATTCAACTTGTCATATTCAATTGAACACAGAACTCAAGATACCAGTGGAAATGCTTATCAGAAGAGACTAGTAAATGACTGCTACGTGGTGTGTAAGACAAATATGAAAGGGCTTGAGTGTTTCCATTTTCAAAGCCCACCATTTAAACAAATGAGCTTCTCATGCAAGAAAAATGTGCCATGAAACATTTGTGGCAGGTCTGTAAATTATTAATTGTGATCTTAAGTCAGTGCTATTCTGCATTGTGTACTCTGTGCCATCATTGTTCAAGCTGACCCGACAGCCCCAAGACATCATCTTCTTATTGGGTGGAATTTAAAGTAAGCACTTCAGGGAGAATACAAGTGATGAAAGCTCTGGGGCTGCTGTTACACAAGATAATGGAGGCCTTCGAGCTGACACACACATGCAGATATATATGCACATGTATTTACACACATTAATCAGACATCAATATTCCTTTGCTCTGTGTTCTCTGCATATGTAAAGCCAAAGTTCTCATTGTTCCCACAATTCTCACACATATTTGTATAAATTTAAGGTAAAGTTCCCTAAGTGTCAGATTAATGCAGAGAGATTAAAAGACATCATTATATAAGCTCTACGAATCTTCAGACATCTAGATGGTATTGTAAAAGGTTCCAAGACATGGAAGCTGCTGATATTAAGACCAGAAAATACAAACGAAAGAATAGCTATTCTGGCTATATGCACACAGCTAACAAATGGGAATATCGTATGGGACTGAAGAGACTTTCTGCCAGTGGTTCTTCCTTTTGTAAAGTTTTAGTATGTCTCACTGGATTTCCTGTGATTATAGTTTTAGCCAAAATATCACCTCATTATATCAGAAAAGCCTCGGATTCCCGCTGAGAGCTTCTCACAGAGGAGTTAAAAAGCAAACCCTGCTGCTATCCAATATGCTCATCGATCTTGTGGAAAGATTAAACTGACATGAGAGTCTCAGAGTTGATACCAATAATAATTTGGAGACACGTGTTTACTAATGATTTGTGTTAACCTGAACTGAAAACAAATATATTTGGTACATACTAGTCACATATTTTCTTTTCACTGAAAATTGCAGGCTACATGTTGTATTCACCCAACAGAAAAAGAACAGTTTGCACACTACAGAGGCTTGCATGTGAGTGCTCTGGACACTCTACAGTATGTAATCCCATTAGCACTGGAGAAAGAGCATGGCAGGTAGTCCTAATACATTAGAGGATTTAGCAGATCACTCTACCTGTATGCGAGTTCGGGCTGCCAGGTTTTTAGGGCAAGGAAAATTGATAATTCTTACCCAGACCTTGTAGTGTAGCTCAATATTCACATTTTATAAAGCAATTCTGTGCCCTTACAGCACAGGCCAAATGGCTCTCCATGTACTATAAAACTGACAATGGATTATCTCCCAACAAATTACAACACATTTTGTTAATTACCACATACTTAGATATTTAACTGTTGAGTTGTGTATTGGCAACCAGAATGCAACACTTGCATGTTCAGAAATGACTGATATCTATAATCATCTGAGTACATGAACTGCATAATAAGTAACAACAGATCACACAATTAGAAGGATCTGAGTTTTGGGAATGTGTAAAAGGGACCTAAGATACCTTGCCAATAAGTAATAATTGTTCCCCTCAATAGCTGGGGCAGGACCAGGGTGGTATTTCCTCCTACTTGCATCATACAAAAATAAACTGTGTGGGCAACAGCACTTGACGAGATCTACATACAAGAAACAATTGATCTGGTTAGACATATGGCAAAAGAAAAACAGGGAACTGCGGTTAATATACAGTACACTTTTTTTCCAATGTGATTAAACCTCTTTACACTTTAATTTTCACCAGGGCAATTTAAAAGATAAGACTTGAGATATTTCAGATAAGTCTGGTGTCCAAATGAGTCAATTCTACAACTACAGCTAAAACAACTGGTCAACTAACTAAAACTCCCCTTAGTGGGACAGAAAATATACATGTAACAATTTTGATTGTCCATTAATTGTTTTAGTCAGTTTATTGCTCCCCTCTGTTTGATTGGGGCGGCAGTAGCTCAGTGTATAGGGACTTGGCTTGGGAACCGGAGGGTCGGTTTAAATCCCACAGACCACAATATGTAGTGTGGACTGCCGAGGTGCCCTTGAGCAAGGCAACCTAACCCCAAGAAACTGCTCATGGGCGCCGCTAACGTGGCAAGCTCATCACTCCACCATCTCTCTCCCTGTTGCATGTCCTCAAGTATGAAGCGAGTATTTCAGTCTGTGTGTGTGTAAGAATAAGAAATAGGGATTAATAAAGTATATATCTATCTAATCAACAAAACTTGAATAGTTTGAAGTTTTGGACCAATGGTCAGATAAAACAAGCAATTTGAATCACCTTGGATTCTCTGATATTGTCATAACTATTTTTTACCATATAATTTAATTAATCAATAAATTAAAAAACACTAAAAAATGAAAAAAAAAACTGTACGTAGCCCTACAGCCCACTTTAGCACAGTGTACTGCACGAGTAGAGACACCCACTTTCAAATATATGTTTTATTCCATGCTGCACTACTGAAAACAGCATAAAATGAATAAATGATCACTTCTGGCACTGGTTCAACTGCTTAATGAAATAGTTGGACCTTGAAAATACACTGGCTTACCTTGGGCTCATTATCATTTATCTTCTTTCCCTATAATAGTACAGATACAATTTACTTCCACCTCCAATAATGTGTATAGCATAGTGTGATACCTGTTTAGAGACTTAGCTGGCAACAGAGCTAACCTAAAAACATTTGGGAGCTATGAGTGTATCTATAGGTTAACACTGCAGTCCAGATTATCTGTCTAACTCCAATTGCTTGGGAACATTAAGAGAGTGGACTAGAATTATAAGGAGGCTAGCTCCCATGCCTCGGCAAACAGCTACTGCCTCTTCTCTCTTATGCTCAGATCTCTTTCACCCCATCCCCTCTCACCCCATCTCTTGCGCTCCAGCCCAGTGAAAACAAAGTGAATAATTCATGACTATACAGAGCAGTGTGTGCATAGATCTAGTGCAATGTATGCGTGTATGTGAAACATCTGCTAGGCTTTAAAAGTCCTTGCCATAGAGCTGTACACGAGGACATTCACAAACACAGCTGAAATCCACTACCAGCCATCAGCAAACCCTACCTGTTCCCCTCTAAGACTTCCACACTGAAAAAAAGGAGGCTGGGGCAGAGGGAGGGAGAAAGATGAAGGTAAACAGCTGCCTGAGGTAGCATGAAGCAGAGAGGGCCAGAGAGGATGTGGCTGAGACAGTCAGTGGGCCGGGAAAAAAGTAGAGAGAAAGGGAGTGTGGAAGAAAAGCGAGGATGGTAAGGTAACGACAGAAAAGGAAGGTGGAAGAGCTGGTGAGAGGGTGGGAGAGAGGGAGGGAGAGCATTACATACAGTCAGCTTTGACAAACCAGCTACATAGCCCATGGCCTGGAGTAAATGTGATAACTGTTCACAGACCCCATCAGAGTAAGCTTCACGCTCCTCTACACCTGGTAAAGCAAATGTCATGGCCACTCGCAAACTGAAGTCACCAGGGGACACATTTATTCACCCACACACACACACACTTTATACTTACACTTACTTACACTCTCTGTCCCTTAAAACATGTTCATTCTTTTGAATAGAATCCATTGGTAAGGCTTAGAAGCATCAAACAAAAAGGGAGAATGTGGTTCATTACCTGTCTGCTGTGGTCTTAGTACCTGTGTGTATTTCATGCTACCAGGCATAATAGGTAGATTTGTCTTTTTCAATAGAGGCTGACCCCCCAAAGAGCAGAAATCAATTTCTCACTCCATCCTCGATTTAAGTTTTAAGTGTGGGAAATGTGATATATATGGTGAGAATTCATAGTATTTTAATTGGCAATCTGTGTTGATTTTTAGATTTTACTTTGTTTCGTGTGTGTGTGTCCCTCTCTCCCCTCTCTTACTTTCGGGTGGGACATGCAGGAGTGGTGACACCATCTGCCTACATCAGGACAGGGCTTTTGAAAGCAGCACGTCTTTTCAAAGTGCTTCCAGGG